TTGATAGTTTTGCATACTGGATGCTTATCCCTGCCGCACCCCAAATACAGTTGCAATATCCTTTAAGCTATTTCCGCTTGTTGCTGTTGTGTGCGAACGGAAATAACAATGCACCAAGTGGAAGCAGGGAATACCTCCCCGAGAGAACCTCGTCCTTCGGCATCCTCCTCCTCAGCTCCCCGGCAATCCTGTGCAGCCACGGAAGGCAGTGCCCCATGTGCCCCATGTGGGGATTTATTTGTCGAAAATCGTCTGGCTGGGGCGACGGCAACTCGATGGGAATCGAGTGGGTCGGATCTGTGCTGGCAATTAGTGTGTTAGTGGCAACTGCAAGGAATTCATAAATAGTCAGGAACAGCACCTTGAACGGCATTCGAGTAAAAGCAACTGGAGTTGTAATTATAACAAACCCGAGATGGAAGTGAGCTCTAAGCAAACATACCTAGGCATACGTTTAGATTTTCTATTTTTCGGAAACACGCAAATGAACTTAAACAAGCCTTTTCGTGCTTTCGCTTTTAAGAAACATAGTATAACATCATTCGAAAATGGAACACACACATTAAATAGTAAAAATTAAAAATAAACAACACTTATTTACTAATACGTAAGTACTATTATTCAATATTCCGGTTAAACCTACTTACATCAGTTTTTTCCAGTGAGGTGGCTGCCGGCTACTGACTGTCTATCCCTGGCTGAAGCTGGCGCCAGTCAACCATTTGGCTAATTGTCTGCATTTATCAAGCGCCAAACAAGGCAAAGCAAAAAAGCGCATAGAATTTATAACAATTGTTTTACAATTTTCCAGTGACAAAGGAAAATCACTTAGAGGCATTGTCGTGTGTCTGGCTGTGCGTTACTTTCGTACTTTTATTTTTGGGCGCGGCGCCACTTCTATTTAATATGGTCGAAATTAGAGCAGCAATCTGGCGGAAATATTTAGCCAATTGGCAACATAATTTAAGGGCAGTCCCCGTTGCAGGCGCCTTGATTTATGCTGCAGCCTTTTCTTTTCCCTTAGTCGGTGACTTTTCCTTTTTTTTTGCTTTTTTGTTTGGTGGCCCCTCCTCTCAAAACTTTGTTACTCACATGTGAGAGTGTGTGCAATTGTGCACTAATTTGCAGTTAGTTTAATAAATTTTCCACTGCGCCACATGCGTGTGCGCAAAAGTTTGGCGAGTGCGGGTCGCAAACTTTTAATTTCTTGTTTGGCAAGCGGCATTGTGTCATAAATTTTTAGCGCTCCACCGGGCAGAGAAAATACACAAAGAGAAATCAGGATTTATTATTTATTTTTATATTTCCTGCTTCTTACTCTCCCTATTGGGTATTTTTTCTCTGTGTATAGTGACCCAGTGTGTGATAATTGTATTGGTAATTATTTCCACTGGCTTAGCGAGGCCTAAACTGGGCCATAAATAAAGTGCAGTATGCAGCCAAATGGCAATTAAGCCAAGGAAACAGTCGACGCTCGATAAGAAGGTTGTAGCTTTTTTCCCCCGATTTTACTGCCTTCCTATGCAAATGAGTTGCAATCGGCGAAAAAAAATAACTGCCAGCGAGTGCAAGGGCCATAACAATGGCTAAACGAAGAAAAAATGTTAACACGAATTAGCCAGAAAGTATGCAGAGATGCGAGATGGCAACAGGAAGCGGATGCAATAAACTATGCACCAGCAGCCATAAAAAAGGAGTCCCAGGACGTGCTGCCCCTATTGAGAGTCCTTCGAGGAGCTGCAGAAGCGGAAAGCTGCACCGTGGGAAAAGGAACCTATAATTTTTTATAAAATATCATGATCCATCAAATACCTTGATCTTTTTTAATTCTGTTTTATTTTTTATTATTATTGAGTGTTATAAGTAGTTTTATTTTAGTCTTTGTAATTGGTTTAGTTTTTTTTTCTGTGTGAAAATGGAATAGGATTGCAATAAAAGCGATAACAGCGGGAGCGTAGAAAAACAGGAATTAGATGGCGGATGAGGGCGCCTGAAAGTGGGCCACTTGAGCCGAGATGTCTAAGCACTTGACACTCCCCCGATCCTTTACTATATGCCATATTCTCCATTCTGATGTGACACATTTCCAGCTATTGCCACAAGTCAGACTAACGATATGTGACACTTGCCCACACACGAACACACGCACAAACACTTGCCAACAAACATTGGGATTATGCAAATGAAGTAAGGGGCCCTTTGAAATTCATAAACATTTAATATTTTATGGAGCATTCATGAACATTTAGGCGGCAATGCAAGTGTCGAATGTATGCGTGTGTGTGAGATGTGTGTTGGCAAAAACAATTGCCGGTTGTTGTTGTTTTTGTCATTGTTTGTTGCTCCTGCCTGCATGTTTATTTGTTGTTTTTCCCTCAGCACTCGAGGCAGACCACACATACACGTATATAATATATGTGTAGAACTACACATAGGAAAAATATCTCTAGTATTATTTTATTCGTCATTTCTTAAAAAACGGATCCCTAATAAATTTGTGTGAGTTTATTAAATTACTATGAAATGGAATTTTCAAGGATGACTTTTAAGCTTTTACAAAAAGTTGTCAAAACTAAAAAATTTCTATATAGAATTGACAAAGAGTATTTGATTTAGAATATTAATAATTTCGTATTTAAAAAATATTTTTTTTATTTGGTACATCTTGTCATATATTTTTTCTCTCTGTACTTACAACTATATGAATATCAAAGTGTTTTGCATGAATTTCATGTGCTCCATTGGTGAAATTTTACTTGTCATTGTTGCGTGCTGAATAAAAGATGAGCACCGGTAGAGCTCGAATGCCTCGAGGCAGCCCAGACTTGGGAAATGAAAAAGGGGAAAATCTGGGGGATTATCGCCGGTGAACTGCAGTTGCTAATCACCCAATTTGGTTGCACGATTCAATCGGAATAAGAGCAGTATAAAATGGAATAAAATGGGGGTGCAAATGCCATTCACGCAATTAACTAACTTGGCCCGAATGGCACTAAAGCTTTTATCTTATTATCCCGTCGAAATACCCAAAGCGCTGAACGCAGAACGCTGACAAGCCAACACAAACAAATGAAGCCGGCAAGATGGCAAATAGTCAAAGGACCTCTGGAAAAACAGAAGGCAAGCGAAAATGTCCGCAGGTCCTTCAGCTGGCGGAAAAAAAAGAAGGAAAAGGAAAACAAACCGCTTCCACAGCGAGAAAAGCGCATTATGTCCTTGTCTTTCGTCCTGTCTCCCCTCCCCTCGCTTTCCCCTTTTTAGTCGCTATCTCTCTCCTGTGGCCGCTTTGTTATTTCGATTTTATTCTCTAACGATTTTCCGCCTTTGATTGCGCACCTTTTTCTAGTTTTTACCGTTCAGTTTTCACCTTTCCACCGAACCGACGGGACGGGGTTATAAATATGAGCAAACATTTCACAAGATATCCTTAATTAAAGCAATTTCCCTTTTTGGTGGAACAGGACGAAGGTACTAAGGGACGAACGGACGTTGGCAAGACGTTGGTTGCGTGTGCACCGGCTGGAATGAAATTTGCAAAAAGGACAGCCAAAGGAAATAAGCTGCCTTGTCCTCGCCATAAAGGTGCGACCGAAAAACGCTGGGACAATGACCTGTTACGCACACATACACGCCGCCACAGATACAGCCGAACCGCCGCACACACTCACAATCACAGTCACACCGACGCCCAAACACCCACACACCCACCCTCGGGGCAAAGGGGTTAAGAGCGAATCTTCGTGTGGCCATTAACATGAAATTTTTAACAGGACCCGCAAGCGAGAGCCAGAGTTGCCAGGGTGGCCAGGGTTGCCAGGATTTCGGCGGGGTCACGTGGCCCGCCATTGTTTCCGCACTCTCCTTATTACTCCATCTCAACCTATATCCTTTGCCGCTCCTGTTATTTAAATACCCTTTCGGGCAAATTTCAAGTTGGGTTGCATTTTTAAAATGACAATATTTCGTTAAAAAAATATAAATGTATATTTTTGAAAAATGCTTAAAAATTTTAATTTTTAATTTAAGATGACATCTTTTAAAAAGTGAAACAATTATAATTATAACTTTTCAAAATTGAAATAAAAGAAAAATATTTAATATTATATTTACGAAAAAGCTTTAGTTTTTAATTTAGTTTTTATATTTGACAGATATTTCAAATATCTCTTATCCTTAAAGAGCATTCCACACTTCGATCCCTTCCTCGTTTTCCCCTTAGGTTTTGTTGGGTAAGAGACCCACGAAGCTTTTGTCTCCTGGTCTCGATGCGGTTCCCTCTTTATTTTTAACCAGCAGTCAAAGGAGAAGGGCTGAGAAATGGAAAGACCGAGGGGCGTGGCGCCGCTTTATTCGTAAGCCCCCTTTTCCATAGTTTCCACGCCGCCCCTTTGCGCTCCGCTTCTCTCATCTCCTCCTTAATCCGGCGCGTATGTCCTTGCACAACATCCTTTGCATTGTTTGCGCTATAAATACACGATGCTGGAGGTGCGCAACGGGTAAAGTACCAGCAACAAGGACAACAACATTCCAACGAGAACGACAACAACAATAACCGCAATCCCCTCCCCACCCCACCGCCAACGCACAATAACAACAACGGCTTATCCTTGGCGTCTTCGACGGCGTCGCACAGGATGCGCCGCTTATTTATCGCATTTTTATGTGAAATAAACGATTCGGAATTGGCTACGTAAAACATTAATTTTATTGTGGGGGAAATTGAGATTGCACATCGAAACAACAAGCCCCGCGGAGAAACAACCGACTGAGCAACACCTTGAAAGTTTTCAGTGGTCCTCAAATTGATTTCGGTTATTATTTTACCAACTGCAGAAAATCGATAATGTTGGTGAATTAAAACCTTGTTTATACTACTGAAACACTAAAGCTATAAGTACAGGTTAATAGTAAGATTCACGGTTGGGCAAGACAAATGGATTTGCACAGACCATATACTTGATTCCGTAGCGAAATTCCAGTGTATTCTGGGCTTAGTTTAGCAGCAAGACAGTCGCAGGATGAAGGGAAAAAGCAGCTTAATCGTACTGGGTTTCATGCTGAGTTTTATCACTCAGTCATGTTCTGAAACCAAGTGCAAGTCCACCGAAATTCTGTCGGACAATGGGTGCGTGGATCGCGAGGGCTTCCTGAACCGGATCATAATGCGTTCCTGGAAGGATCAGGGCTTCGAAAAAGCTAAGGCGAGGGCTGGCCTGGTGGACGATATGCAGTGCAAGCCGGGCGAGGTGAGAACACCCTTTGGCTGCTCGAAGCCACCGTTTCCACCGCGCAGGGAATCGGCGAGGGTGGAGATCCACCACAGCAGACTGGAACACAACCTTATAGTGCACGATGGTGCCGGCTTCAAGGTGAAGCACCATGAGGAAGAAGGAGAAATCAAGCCTGTTCGCAAGCGTCGAAGTCAGGGGCCTCCAATATATGGGCACAATCGGCCACGGAAGTACGTATTCTTGCCGGGAAGAAATCTACATCCGGGTTTCAAGTGTCGAGCGAACGAGGTCCTCGGAAGAAAAGGTCGCTGCATCAAGAAAAGGCGAGCAGTTAAACAAAAACAACATGAAAAACATGAAAAACTTGAACAAGATGATGATCAATATTACGATACTGCAGTGTATGGATAAATTTGATATCATACAAAATAAATCGACTTGGAACGTTTTAATCATAACACTAACTTGTTATTTTATCTTGTGCTTATAATATAAAGATTTATTATATGATTGTACTTTAAAAGTAACCAAATGGAACAAAATGCATAATACCTACACTTTTGTATGCTAAATTAAATTAATAAATTACATCATGTGAAATTGATCATTAACGGTAGGGCAAGATAAATCGATTGTTTATACATAGCTTAGCATTTAAATGGTTCCACTTAATTTCGTTTGGAAAATATATTTCAGTCTGTTTAGTCGTGCACTCCAAGATGCAATTTCAAGGCAGCTTGAGCGGGCCTTTAATTTTCAGTTTATTCTTGATATTTCTTCAAAATGTTCCTAAAACTGAAGCATCCCAGTGCAAATCCACCGAAATTCTGTCCGACAATGGCTGCGTGGATCGCGAGGGCTTCCTGAACCGGATCATAATGCGCTCCTGGAAGGATCAGGGCTTCGAAAAGGCAAAGGCGAGGGCTGGCCTGGTGGACGATATGCAGTGTAAGCCGGGCGAGGTGAGGACGCCCTTTGGCTGTGCGAAGCCCCCGTTTCCACCGCGCAGGGAGTCGGCGAGGGTGCCAGTGCACCACAGCAGCTTGAGTCGTGACCAGGTGGTCTTCTCCAATTTCGGTGCGGCCCGAACCTACTATAGGGAACCAGAAGTAAAGTCTGGCAAAAAGGAGAAGAGGGTGCCTTACTCGGGACCCCCCATTTCGGCCCACAATCGTCCCCGTATAAGCTATATTATGCCGGGCAGGTTGCTCCGGACTCAACGCAAGTGTCGACCTTATGAGACCGTCGGACCAGATGGGCAGTGCCATCGAAAGAAGGGCAAAACTGGGATCTATGAGCACAGGAATCACCTATATGGGTTGCAACTGAGACACCGACATGAAGGAACTGATACACACAAAACAGTTGATGGGTCAGTTTGACCCAATCGAATAGTTACGTAACCATACAAAATAGAATACAGCTGATGAAAATAGTAACGTGTATTTTATTTTCAAATTAAAAATATTTTCTGGAAATTCTTTCAAGCTACATTTACTGTCCACATTGGCAGTCAATTGGGATTACAGCTACCCAATATTTTCATTGTGAACAACCCTCACATATGGCAGGACATTTAATGGTCCTTCACCGTCGAGCCTTTGACAAATTTAATTTAATTTTATATTGTGTGTGTGCCGGGTCGTTTTGTTTTACGATAGCCGCCTCTTTCTTGGGGCCCATTGAGAGCAAATTAGTTGCTCGCCTTAAGTCCGAGCCATTGACAAAGGATTAATCAAAACAGATAGATGGGCATGTTGTGCCGCGTGTGTGTTCTTGTGTGCTGTGGGTGTCCTTTAAGGATGACATTATGCTGAAAACATGGCAGGGGATTATGAATATAAAAGCATAATTAAATGGGATTTGCGCCTTTTGGGTTGGCTTTTCTTTTCAATGGAGGCAACACTTTGAAACGGCTTCGGTACGGCAATATAGATGGCTTTGACATGCTAATTAGTTAACCTCGCACGCTCGTGTGTTTGTGTATTTATGAGTGTGTGTAGTTGTGAGTTTGGGGCCACATTGCTCATACGCCGCGTTTGACAGACCCCAGGCGCGGCAGCTAAGTGGCTGCTGTTCTGTTCACTGCGGGCGGCGCCCAAAACATGATGAATAGTTTTGCAATAATTACATTACACGGCAGTTTCACGCTCGGCCCGCCCGAAAGAAAGTCACACGTGGCTGACGCTTGGATCGAGCGGAAACTAAGATGACTTTCATCTACACAGGGAGAGAATAAGTGAATTCTATTACTTATAATACTAAATAACTAAGTGAAAATAAGTAGCTGTAATATTAAATATTATTGAAAACTAGCTGGACGAAATATATTTAATTTATTATAACAAAAACCTACTTTCATGCTAGTTAAGAAAACGTACAGACTACCTACCATAAAAGCTATTAACTGAAATAACTCTGTTAACAGGATATTTCGCCTCTGTGTGCAAATGCCACATCAATGGGCATACTGATGTGGAGACGAACGCGCGGCTCGGAGGGCATTAATCATGTTCGGAGGTAATTAGCAATTAATAACGTTTTGCAAACTGTAAATTTATCGCCTGCTGCTCCGTCTTAGGAATTTCCCATCATAAATTACGTTTCCCGGCTTATGAATGAAGTGAAAAATGATCCGATGGCCATCAAATGTCTCTCTGCCATCGAATGCGATTTCCGTTTTATTTCATTTGACTTTTGTCCCAATTGGGGATTTGCCTTTGCGCTTTCGTCAGCTTATGGATTCGCCTTTTGCCCACACATAGCTGCAATATATAAATTTACAAAGCCTGCATATTCATCTTGTCATGCACTCAAAGTTAATATGATTGATGGCTTAATCGATGACTGCCTTAATTGCCGCCAAAGCAATTGGCTTGATTTCTCGGCTGGTAATGCCTGTAAGCCATAAGGCTAGCAATGCTTATTTTATTGGAATAACAAATTAACATTTATGATGGAGACTCCGGTTCAAAAATGCTTTTTCCCGGAATTACCAGGTATGTATTTACATTTGCAATGTTTCTTTCAACTGGTTCCACACACCTCAGCGGTAAACTATAAAAGTGAGCGGGCGCCAAGATATTGAAAAGCTCCAGGGTCGCCTCGTCGTTTTTGTACTTCGCCAGTATGTCAGGACCTTCCCTCAACAGGATGCGGGAGTGGCTGACATTCTCCGTGTGGCCCCTTTCCCGTTTCTGCAACTCCAGTTCTAGCTTGTAGATGTTCGGCAAATTGCGCAAGTGGAAAGGATCTTTCTGCACCGCCTCCAATATATCGTCAACATTTCTTGATGGGAAAGCCATTTTTAGATAGATATCGATTCGGAAGAAAGTAGATTCTACTGTGATATTTTAGGCAAGGCCTGCTTTTAAAACAAAAATTCCATAAACTTTTTTAGAAACATTTTTACTCACCCACAAAAAATCCATTGTCGCGCCAATTAAATCGAGTATTAAACGGGCACTTCAAATTCCGTTCTTACCAATAAAATATAGACTTGGCCATAATACCTTAAACCATTTAAGTCGCTTTCGCGCGGACAAGTGTCGGGCGAAATTTATGGTTTTGGCTGCGAGAGCGACGCGTGAAATTGGCTTCTAATTGCCGGCGAATGAAATGTCACAGCCTTTGGCAGACTGAAATCGAGAGGGAGATGTGTAGGCATACGTATATATATATTAGGGGAATGATGGGGAAAAATCAAGCGAAACTCATTTCGATACACTTGAGTTGATTTGTTTGCGGGGCAGAACATTTTCATTTAAAATTAGACATGGATTTGGAAGTGGTTTGGCAAATCTTGTCATAAATTCCACAGCCAATTCGAATAAATCAGTGCAGTGATTAGTGGTCCGGTTCTCTTTTATTTATTAATGCGCGCATAAAGAGTTTATTTATAGCTGAGGCCCGAATCATTCATGTTGCAACATTGCCACTTCCAATCGCATTTATTAGGGTGCTCTTCAGTGTGGCTGGAATTTATGCGTCAATGCACCTGGCGAAAAAAGTCGAACATGCGGCACTTCAAGCGGTGCAAAAAATGCGACCTGTAATATATGTGTGTGCAAAAAGGGATGCTGCACGTGACAGTGGCACTCGTTTTATTTACTCGACAAGTGGCAATTACAAAAATCCGCTGGCAGTCACTGCTCATTTCGCTGCCAGTCGAGTGGCATTAAAATGTTGCCATTTTCAGTTTTCATTCACATTTGCCCCGCTGCCACTCGAGAGCCAATCCGCAAATAAATCCGATTGCTTGCCTCTAAATTCCAAACTATATTCCCCGATAATTGCTTGGCTTTGGTTAGTGCTCACTGAATATGGCTTTGGCATGCGATTGAAGATTCGGGGCCTTAATCGTTTGGCACATCTCTTGGCCCGGCAAACTATTCGCAACGATTCAGAATCCGAATCCGATCAGCAGCAGATGCAGCCGCCTTTATTGCCTTATTGATGGAATTGTTTACATGTGTAATTAAGTTACCAGCCCAGTAAATGTGCTGATGATGTGTACAAATTTATTTGCCATAATATTTGCATATGTTTAAGCCGAGTATTTTATTTTTTGTAGCCCACCATTATTGTTATTACTATGGACGAGATTCGCAGGATGCTGGACTTTGGCTCAGGCCGCTCGTAAATATTTATGCTACGGCCGTATTGTTGTCGGAATTAAAACGGCAAACATGACACTCGAAAAAATAATAAAGCAATCAGTTAAGCGCAGCCACTGTGCGGGTAATTATATAAATTGTTTGCTTTTGCCCACGGAACTCCCTTTGTGTTCGCCTTGTCTGTCTATCTGTGTGTTTATTGACTCACCCAGTCCGAGTGGACGAGTGCAATGAATTTTTATGTGCTTATAGTTGTGCTTAGCATTAAATTAAAATATGCATCAATGTTTACAAGCGCCTCGGATGATGTCAATTGCGATAAAAGCACGCTCGTAAACGCTCGCACGTTACGCATACGCCATGTCATGCAGGGACCTCAACGACAACGGCGAAGTCGCCATTTTGCCTAGATGTTGTCAAACATGGCCAGACAAGGAGCGCCGGACAGGAACACCTCACTCATTGGCCTGACCAGTGGCGGGAATGGGACCAGGGGGAGCAGCAAAACCTCAAGTCAGTGATGACAGCTTTATACTCCTCAAGTGGAAAGGGTCTTTGATGGAAAAAAGAGGGGTGGAATAATTTCATATAAAACCAGGAATTATAGAAGTATTTTTTATTGTTTAAGTATTCCAAATTATGAAATTAGAAATATCTTTTACTAACAATAATATTAAAATATTTATACTATATATTTTATTTGTACAAAAAAACATATATCTAGAAAATGTCGGTCCTTAGGAATACATTGATCCAAAAATTAATATAAAAATGTTATGTTGTGAAAACGGTTTCAAAATAATGGCTGAAATTAATTCCGTAACTAGATTTGTCCCAGAAAATGTTGTCATCTCTGTTTGATCTCTGCACTCCGTCACTTGTTCCATTTTGTAGTTGGACTGCGGGCGTTTAAGAGCTCCTTTCTCCATGGACACTCTCCCAGATGAAATCCCCAGACCCGTCCCTTGTTCCGGATGGTGTTCCCCGATCCCTGTTCTCCGTTCGATGCTCCGTATTCCGTAGTCCGTGTTCCGTGTGGCTGTGCAGATAATGCTGATGATTTTGATGTTCGTGTCATTGTCGTTCGAAAGCGTTATGCGTGACGAAACGGAAGCTCTTAAAAGGCACAATGAATAAACGCTCGAAATGAGGCCAAAAGCCGCCCAAAAAAGCAGTCCTGGTGAATGGTGGCTGGTGACTGGTGTCTGATTTCTGGCAGGCAGTGTCCTGCGGTTCGCCATGGCACATTAAGAAGGACTCCGGCTGTAAATTCGCCCTGTTTTATGCGCATTTCGTTACGCCCTGATGCCGCCACCGCTCTTTCTTGGCCGGAAACTCCGGCTCCGAGTACTCCGGGTCCAAGGCAATTGCCACGCCCCGCAAATACTTCCGCTGGAAAACAAGCCGGCGGTTGGGGAATCATTATTTTAATTAGATGCGTCAAAAGGATCGCGGGACAGCTGCTCCACATTATTTAATTGAATTAAACCAAAATCTCTGTCAAGTGCCGTGCGCTGCGAGTATAATGCATTTTTAATTAAGCTTAATGTCAACTTTCCACATAATGTCCAAAAATATTTGATTCTAACCTAAATAAAACAAAATTTAGGAAAATAAGATTATTTTAAGTTAAAGCTAGTAAATTAATATTTTTAAAATATTTACAATTATATATACCTATATTATATAACAAATAAGTAAAATAAACATATTACCCTACCTAAAATATATTTTCTACCACCGGTACATTTTCCTCTGTGTCATATTAGCATAATTTATAAACCTAATTTACACATATTCGCAGCATATTTTTTGGGGCTAACATTCCGGCTGGCAATTTGCTTAGCTGCCATTTAAATATCAATAGTCCCTAGGCCCGGTGACCGTAGGGCCATTGCTCACGCCATTTCTGCCCGGGACTGAGACATATTGTTCGCAGACCACACACTACCACCTCTCCGGCCGTAAAAAATCACCGACGGACGGAGTCTATCTGTCAAATACATCAAATCGTTCACCCCTCGCCGCCCTAAGCAAACATGCCAAGCCAAGCGGAGCTGAGAAGAGCTGAGCCGAGCCGAGAACTGAGCCAAGTCTGAAATGTGTATATCATTTGGATTGATTGCCGGGTCCGCACACGGGCCAACCCGTGCCACACTCGGAAAAATATTAGAGGTATAAAGAGTGAGATCTAGAATACAAGGAAAACAAAATCATAAATCAATTAGGAATTTTTAATAGGCGAATTACATAATTTTTACTTTGTTAATCACATTATTTATTTTAGGGATAGTAAATTTATTTTTCTTAGAATAAGTTTTTATTGGTAAAAAGTCCGTTCTTGAATATTACTTAGAAAATTAATTTAAATTGTATAGTTTTTTTAAACCAATAGAAAAAGTAATTTACAATCTTGATTACAAAAAGCTTAATCTCATTAGCAACATTTTTTCAGTGTACACTAGAGCTCCCACTAGCGAAGTTTTGGGGTTGAGCATGTGGCGCTGTCTTTGTTTGCGGCTGTCGTTGGGTGTTTGTTTGTTGGGTGGGTGGTTTTGCGTGCGTGGCGGATGTGTTTTCCGTTGGGCAAATCTGCTGGGAGGAGGAGGCGGTGGAGGCGACGGCAGAGGAAGTGGAAGTGGAAAACCGGTACCGGAAGGTGCAACGCCGGCCACTAGACGCCATCGCGAGGCGGCGTCTTCTGCCCCGCTTGTCGCACCCGGCTTGTTGACGCGTGCAGCGGCCAAATGAGTTATGGCCCGCTGTGGATTATGGCCAATGGATCACGGCTTAAAGTTGGCCAAAAATTCAACAGAGTGAAATGATCATAGCAAGGGCGGCAGACCGCAAATAAAAAGCCATAAATAGTCAACTTCAGGCTGAAGTTTTTGGCTTGGCTGCGGAACAATGCAACCCACAACAGGGCAACACACATTGCTCTCGACTCTGAGCCGCTGAGGAAGCTCGGGAAGCAGAAGATGTCGACGAAGTGCAAAGCGCTTCAAACGATTTTCCGCAAAGTTGACTGCCTCCTGCAGTGGAAGGTGTTTCGAGTGCGCGCCGCCAGAGCCACGCCCAAACGCCCCTCCGCCGAGGTCTACCAAACCACCCGTTTGCACGGGAAAAAATCTTTAAAAGTATTATAAAAATTATTTATTGACATGTTTTTGGTACCTTGATTTACCTTTACATTTAATAAACTTTGAATTATTTGTCACATAAAAATAAAAATACTTTCCTACAAAATTGAACGATTTTGTTGCATTATCTAAGGGATTTACTTAAAGCACTTTATGTTTATATTTTTCTCAGTGCATAAAACACTCTGTTTGTAATCCGTATCTTTTATCCGGCGGAGTGGGGTCTCGTGTGCATGCATGTTTACTGCCACAACAGCAGCGACGGCGACTGAAATAAAATTCTCGCCAAAGGCCTTAAGGTATTCCGCACTAGCAAAATATGCGAGTTTGTAAGACCGACAGCAAAGAGTGTGGAGTTGAGTTGGAAAAGCGGGAAAATTGGAGAGTGTCGGGGGCGGTGGGCGGTGAGCGAGACACTTGGGCATGGGTCGCCAACTTCACACCCAATCGCGGCAAATTTTTGGCAACAAACTTTTCTGCGAGCTGAAGGAGCAGCCGGAAAAGCAGTAAAACGAACTAGCTAAAGTAGGAGTCGAGGAAGAAAATGTCAGAGCACTTGGAAAGAATATTTATAGATTTAAAAAAGAAAATAATGAATATTAAATAATTTATTTAAATTGCAGAGCCGTAAGGATCTGAAAGTATTACGATTTTATATTTAAAGTATGTGAATATTTTCGAGATACAACCACAAAAGACAAATTACAACAAATTGTAGAAACCTCCAAAAAATACTTACTTATTTATTTTTGAGTGCATCTTTGAGCTGAGTCAGTGGAGTAGCGGAATGCGAAAGCGAAGCACTTGCGAATGTGGATGAGGATGTGGCTGCCGTGCCAGAAGATGTGGGAAGTGCTGTCCTGTGGGCGTG